ATTAATTTTTAAAATATATCTAAACAGCTTGAAAGTAAGGGATTAAAACTGACCAGTGATCCTTGGATGAACGGCACTGTGGTCATTGACAGCACCGTGGGAAAGGACACGTTCTTGCTCATCACCTGGACTGTGCAGCCCCCCAGCATTTCTCTCTGGGATCCCAGTGGAGTGCTGACAGCAGGGTTCACTGAGGACACTGCTTCCAGGATGGCCTATCTCAGTATTCCCGGAAACGCACAGGTGAGCAATCACCTTTTGACCTGCTCTATAGTTTGAATGTTCAAAACCATTTAGTGCTACGGTCATGAATGCCAGGAATTGTGCAAAATGTGAAATTAATACAAAACAGTATGGACCCTCAATGTTCTATGACTCTGAAAGTAGTAATAACAAGGAAAACAAAGAGCTCATGAATTAGGAGGAGGGAAAAGAAGGTAATCCAAGAATAACCCTATTGAAGAGGTGTGGGAAGAGTCTGGGAAACTTGAAGTGCAGATTTTCCAGGAAGTCAAAGTAGAAGACCAAACCAAGTAAACTTGCAAAACCTACTTCTCCAGTTGAGATGTCACACAGTACAAACACCATGCATGCCACCAGTCAGGGAGGCACTGCCTGAACTGTCTCAATTTGCATTTTTTGAAAATCTCAAAACCATCAATAACCTGTTTATTCTACTCCACACTTCTATGATATATTTTAGGATTGCATAATCAAATCACAAAAAAAGCTTAGCTATGAATATTTATGTGTTCATTGACCATTTTAGGTGGGCACTTGGACTTACAGTCTTCAAGCCAAAGCAAATCCAGAAACACTGACTATTACAGTAACTTCACGGGCAGCAAACTCCTCTGTGCCTCCGATCACAGTGAGCGCTAAAATGAATAAAGACACAAACAGCTTCCCCAGCCCCATGATTGTGTATGCAGAAGTTCTACAAGGGTATGTGCCCGTTCTTGGAGCCAATGTGACTGCTGTCATTGAATCAAACAGTGGAAACACAGAAGTTTTGGACCTGCTGGACAACGGTGCAGGTAATCCACAGGTTGTTATTAAAAAAGCCCACATTTTCATAACTCAGGGTCCATTATGGGTCCTTAGTCCAGTGTCTGCAGTAACACAGGAACTTAACAAACTAAGACAGAATATGGAGGACTACAAGGACCAGCAGAAAATTTTATTGGGTAAAATTTGGCCAGATGGAGCCAAGTGTAGATCTTGAAACTCTGGCAGGGAAAGGGAGAGAAACAGGAATAATTTTTGACAGTGAGAACAAAACACAAATACAGTCCAGAAAGCTGAGGCCTAGGGACATCTAGAAATGCCACCAGAGCGGAGGACTCATCACTGGGGAATTAGATACCAGGAAACAAGGAACAGAGCGGGACATTATCTGTCTTCCTGTTCTGCATGGGTGAGTGGACCTTTCTATAGAGCAGATTTTCCAGAGAATTGAAACTTCTGTTAAAAATTCAGTGAGCAATACTATTTATTCAGTTCTTTGTTGAACTTTTCCATAACTTTTCTTTTATGGAATTCTTTTCCATAACGCTCTCTTCTGCTATCTACAAAACCACTATACAACATTAAAATTGACCTGCATGTTGTTTCATTACTTGGCAATTTTATTGGATGAATATTTGGGTAACTGTGAAATTCGCTAGTTTGGAATGCCTTTCTCTAAATAAAGTAGTAGTGATTAACACTGCTTGGAGCAGGCATTCTTACACTTTGGGGCAGAGACCGTGAACCGTTCAGAGAGTTCCCCAAACTGCAATGCAATAATCAATTTGTGAAATGACAATTCTGCAATTTAATCTGAATATAGAGGGGCTGGTGAGATGGCTCAGTGGTCTAAAGCACCTACTTAGAACAAACTTAGCAAAGCACAGGGACCGCAGTTCAATCCCCCAGCACCACATGCCAGCCAGCCCTGCCCCCTGGTGGGCTGAGCTGGACACACACACACACACACACACACACACACACACACACACATAAATAAATAAATAAAATTTTAAAAAAAATCTGAATATAGAGGTTTTTGTTCAGAAAAAAAGAACTCATACATTAATTCACACGTCTTAAAAACAAATAACACGTGCCGTAGGTTCACCACCACTGCTTTAGTGTGTGAAGAAATCATCTGGAGGTTTTTTTGAAATATACTTCTAGGTTTTCCCTATGTAGTGTGGGAAATCAACATGTCTAAAAGTCTTCAAGACTGGGCATGGTGGCGAGTGCCTGTAATCCCAGCGCTTGGGAGGCTGAAAACAGGAGGACTATGAGTCCTAGCTGTATAGTAACACCCTGTAGACCCTGCACACAAAAAAATAAAAGTCTGTAGTTCTAGAAGACACAACTACTGTTGGCCCAAGTGCTACACTGAACTTGTTTAAGTCCATTTAACATAGAATGTTACATGTGCTTGAAAAGGTACTTTGCAATCTAGTAGTTGAATCCAATGCTAAACACAAAATTCAGAGTTGTCCTGAGTGCTTCCAAATGTTTCTTCAATAGTAGATGGTGTTTTACTCTGTCAGACTCAAGAGTTAGTATGTGAGGGTAACAAGAACAGAGAAAACTAAGCATGAATTGTTTAAGAAAAGACAAAACAAGTACTTTTACTTGACACAAAAAATAAATTCTCCAAAGGATTTTTGCTGCAGTGAGAACCCTTTAGACTTATACAGAGGAACACCATGATTAATTGCAAAATGTAAGAAAATCATAGTCGGAAAAATGATAAAAGGTATATTATAAAATGTATGCAAGGGATAGGGAGATAGTTCAGCAGTCTAAGCACCTGCCTGGCAAGTGCAAGGACCTGGGTTTGATCCCCAGTACCACATGTCATGCCAGCCCCAGAACCCTGGGCATGCTGTGCTGGCCACTGAACCCTGGAGTGGTGGTGCACACCTGTAATCCCAGCACTGGGGAGGCTGAGATCAGAGGATCGCCATGAGTCTCAGCTACGTAGCAAGACCCTGTACCAAAAATAAATAAATTAAGTAAGTAAAAAAATGTTTTTAAAATGTATACAAATTGATACAGGACAGAAAAATGTGGTTTTTAAATACTTATTACAAAGACACCAATAAAATGTGTGTATATGTGCTACATGCATAGTAGTATATAGATATAAGAAAAACCCTCAAAGACATCGATTCATTAATATATTGTTTTAGCAGAGCATTAAAGAAATATTTCCCAGACTATTCCTGACATATCTCACCCAATCTGGAGGACACACTTATTGAAGCCAATACTTGTCTTAGAAAATGCATGGATTCGTTGTTTTGTTTTCAATAATAATAATTTGTTTTTGTCATTTCTATGACTAGGTGCTGATGCATTCAAAGATGATGGCGTCTACTCCCGGTACTTCACAAATTATTCAGCAAATGGCAGATACAGCTTGAAAGTGCGAGCTCATGCAGGAACAAACTCTGCCAGGCGACGCTTAGGGCATCCACGGAGCAGAGCTGCATATATACCAGGCTGGGTGGTGGATGGTGAGTACGACAGTGGAATAATATTTACAATGCGATATGACTAAGATGGGCTTCATTTTACAGCTAAGAATAGATTTCCTATTTCACACCTGGAATGCTTAGTTAATTGCCTCCAAATTTAGCTTTTGAAAAAATTAAGGCAGTTAGTAAGTACTCAAAAATGTCGGGTACTGTTATGTTATTTTGAAACACCTTGCTGATATCAACAACATACCCAATTTTTAGCTCAGGACAGGAAACAATTAATTTATAATAATCATAAGTACAAACCAGAGACAGGACTTATCCTTCAAATTTTAAATCTTATATCACTAGGGTGCCTGATAAAGTCAAACAAAAATTGTGTAGAGTAAGGTGATGCCAAGCACATACACTGCATTCTTTGCTAAATTTCTTTCTTTCTGTCTGTCTGTCTGTCTTTCTTCTTTTGGTCCCCTATTTTGTGAGTGCTTAGAGCTTTTTGTTAGCAGTTGTAATACCTTTAGTAGTTGCAGCAGGGAATGAAGAACTTGGCCAAGTACCTGAAAGGGAACTGGCAAGGATTTTCCCACATATATTTTTACCTTGGAGATCATTTGAGACAGCCAGGGCATACACTTAATTATTTAACATATTACTGCAGTCTTCACTCCAAAACAGTCTGTTATATATCTTATTCTACAGCATCCTTCTCAGGGTACTAATGACAGAACTCCCCCATTAATTTGAGGCTTATATTGTGTCAAAGACTTAGCGAAAATGTACCTGACATAATGGCAAAAAAGGCAAAGTGAGATACAGAAACAGTTCATTGTGCTGTAAAAAATACTACTTCATTTTTGCCCATTTAAAACGAGAGATTATATAATGTAGGGGAAATCGAAGGAAACCCACCAAGACCCGAAACTGATGAGAATGCTGAGACGGTTGTGGAGAGTTTCAGCAGAACAGCATCTGGAGGTGCATTCGTGGTATCAGGATTTACATCATCTGCCACTGACGTGTTCCCACCAAGTCAAATCACAGACCTGGATGCTGTGCCTGAAGGAGAAGAGATCACTCTGACATGGACAGCACCAGGAGAGGATTTTGATGTTGGCACAGGTGAGAACAATGTGTCATGTTGCTTATGCATGAAGTTAGAGATGCTTTTTGTGAAAGGATGTAAGTGTAGGGTAAGGGAGAATATTATCTATCTGACAGTTCAGTAAACTACTAACTTTAAAATTTGATATTTTTGAATCAATCAAACATGACACATTTTATTCAGCCTTACTCTTCATACAATTGGGCAGAATTTAAAAGTGAAAATGTAGTTTTTATTAAAAACAAATACGTCCAATATAAGGATATACTTCACATAACTAAAAAAGATCTTTGAGAGTGAATGGAAAGAAATTAACATGCAGCAGCTACTAAACTACATGTAACTTTGTCCCTCAGTTCAACAATATATCATCAGGATAAGTGGAAGTATGCTTGACCTGAGAGACCGTTTTGAAGACGCCCTTCAAGTTAACACCACTGGCCTGTCACCAAAGGAGGCCAACTCCAAGGAAAGCTTTACATTTAAGCCAGGAAGTATCCCAGAAGAAAATGCAACCCATATATTCATTGCCATCCAAAGTGTAGACCAAAGTAACTTGACCTCAGAGGTGTCCAACATTGCTCAAGTGGCTTTGTTTATTCCTCAAGCAGATCCCAGTCCTGATGAAAGTCAACCTAATCCTAGTCCCCCTGAAAATTACAGTTCTGGAGTTAATATTTCTACTCTGGTCTTGTCAGTAGTGGGATCCATTGTAGTTGTCAGTATTATAGTAAGTACCACTATTTGTATCTTAAAAAAGAAAACCTCTTCAAGCAGACCAAGAACAGAGTTTTAAAAATAAAATAATATAAAGGATATCTCTATTTCTAAATTCATCCTGATTAATCATGAACTACAAAAAAAGGTGTCTACAAAAGATATTTGATTAAAAACAAACACCTCATAGATATTTAGAGAAACTGTCTATACTTTACTAATTTTATTCACTAATTTATTTATAATGGTGATGAATAAAGATCCTGCTTCCTATTGATCTCCAACTGCATATTATTTTGTGATAAGGTTTTTTCTGAAATTATATGTAAATTTCATAAAGTCTAGTTGAGTATTCAAAATCTATATTTAAAAGCTAAGCAAATAATATTTGGGAAAATGGATTTGATGTTGGTGCCGTTAGTATTAGTTGATTGCATTATATTCATCAAAAATCTCCAATTATACATTATAATTGTTAAGTTGATATTCCTGTCATTCGTGGATGTGGGAGAGACTAGAAAAGATATCACATACTATCTGTCAAACCACAGATTTTCCTGATTTCAATTCAGTACAAACATTTACCTCTTCCTGAAAAGCCACAGTCCTTTATATACTTTTTATGACATCATCAAAAAGAATTACTGAAGCTACAATCTATTGACTTTATTTTCAGAGAAATTATATATAATTTCAGAGAGATATTACAAATTACCAGAGAGAGAGAGAGAGAGAGAGAGAGAGAGAGAGAGAGAGAGAGAGAGAGAGAGAGAGTATTTTTGCTCATCATTCAGTGTCACTGCCTTGGGGTTCCAACCATCCATAAATGCTGATGAGAGAGATCAAGCAAAGACAAAATGCAGGTAGAGAAGACCAAGTTCACACAATTGGCCATCTCTAGACGTCTCTCTTGGTACAGATTTGCAACAATATGGTTTTCTTTTTCTTCTAACTGCTAGTTTTCTCACATTTTTTTATTTCCCTAACTCAACAACTGGAGGACTTGAAAACAATCTAACCAAAGACATCCACTCACTTACTTCCTTAGCTCAAGTGCTTTGGGCAGCAATCATTTGCTGATCTGGAAATTAACTAAAATGAAAGTCATATGAGCTGAGCCCAAGGGTCACTTTTAACAATCTTCCAACGCAGACTAGACTTTGACCTAGCATAATTAATTTAATCTGGTTATCAGGGTTGACAAAAAGAGCTTGTAATTTAAATTAGAAGTGATTTTTTAAAAGCCAGCAAGCAAGAACTAGGTAGGAAACTCCTATGAGGATGGTGTGACTTGATCCCAAGGCATCTGGAGGAGAATGGACTGTGCTCTAGGGCATTTAGGGACTGTGTTTTGACACAGAAAGTCAAAGCAGTGTTGGTCCTTTGATGAGGTATCACCTGCTTCACCAGGGCTAATGATTTAAGATGTATATGGACCCACAGAGAAAATGTAGAAAAGGAGTATTACACACCAGGAGATGAACAAAAATGTAAAGTTCTGTACAGACAATAAAGATGCCACACAACAATCAGTTTTCCCTGTCTCCTTCCCATGCATCCATCCCATAGCTCCTATAGTAAGCTTACCAGGCCAGTTAGTTCCCTCTGAAGTCCAAGATGTGTGTACACACGCACATGGGCGCACTCACAAGCGTGCGCGCGTGTGTGTGTGTGTGTTGCACTGGGAATCAAACTCAGGACTTTGTGCTTGCTAGGCAGGCACTTCTGCCACTGAATTATATCCTCAGCCTAAAGCTCCAGTACAATTAACATCATTGCTTCTGCAGTCCAAAGTAAATTAGTGATCTTTCACATAACTAAAAAAGATCTTTGAGAGTGAATGGAAAGAAATTAACATGCAGCAGCTACTAAACTACATGTAACTTTGTCCCTCAGTTCAACAATATATCATCAGGATAAGTGGAAGTATGCTTGACCTGAGAGACCGTTTTGAAGACGCCCTTCAAGTTAACACCACGGACCTGTCACCAAAGGAGGCCAACTCCAAGGAAAGCTTTACATTTAAGCCAGGAATTATCCCAGAAGAAAATGCAACCCATATATTCATTGCTATCCAAAGTGTAGACAAAAGCAACTTGACCTCGAATGTGTCCAACATTGCTCAAGTGGCTTTGTTTATTCCTCAAGCAGATCCCAGTCCTGATGAAATTCAACCTAATCCTAGTCCCCCTGAAAATTACAGTTCTGGAATTAACATTTCTACTCTGGTCTTGTCAGTAGTGGGGTCCATTGTAGTTGTCAGTATTATATTAAGTACCACTATTTGTATCTTAAAAAAGAAAACCTCTTCAAGCAGACCAAGAACAGAGTTTTAAAAACAAAATAATATAAAGGATATCTCTATTTCTAAATTTATCCTGGTTAATCACGAACTACAAAAAAAGATGTCTACAAAGGATATTCGATTAAAAACAAACACCTCATAGATATTTTAAAGAAACTGTCAATACTTTACTAATTTCATTCACTAATTTATTTATCATGGTGATGAATAAAGATCCTGCTTCCTATTGATCTCCAACTGCATATTATTTTGTGATAAGGTTTTTTCTGAAATTATATGTAAATTTCATAAAGTCTAGTTGAGTATTCAAAATCTATATTTAAAAGCTAAGCAAATAATATTTGGGAAAATGGATTTGATGTTGGTGCCGTTAGTATTAGTTGATTGCATTATATTCATCAAAAATCTCCAATTATACATTATAATTGTTAAGTTGATATTCCTGTCATTCGTGGATGTGGGAGAGACTAGAAAAGATATCACATACTATCTGTCAAACCACAGATTTTCCTGATTTCAATTCAGTACAAACATTTACCTCTTCCTGAAAAGCCACAGTCCTTTATATACTTTTTATGACATCATCAAAAAGAATTACTGAAGCTACAATCTATTGACTTTATTTTCAGAGAAATTATATATAATTTCAGAGAGATATTACAAATTACCAGAGAGAGAGAGAGAGAGAGAGAGAGAGAGAGAGAGAGAGAGAGAGAGAGAGAGAGAGTATTTTTGCTCATCATTCAGTGTCACTGCCTTGGGGTTCCAACCATCCATAAATGCTGATGAGAGAGATCAAGCAAAGACAAAATGCAGGTAGAGAAGACCAAGTTCACACAATTGGCCATCTCTAGACGTCTCTCTTGGTACAGATTTGCAACAATATGGTTTTCTTTTTCTTCTAACTGCTAGTTTTCTCACATTTTTTTATTTCCCTAACTCAACAACTGGAGGACTTGAAAACAATCTAACCAAAGACATCCACTCACTTACTTCCTTAGCTCAAGTGCTTTGGGCAGCAATCATTTGCTGATCTGGAAATTAACTAAAATGAAAGTCATATGAGCTGAGCCCAGGGGTCACTTTTAACAATCTTCCAACGCAGACTAGACTTTGACCTAGCATAATTAATTTAATCTGGTTATCAGGGTGGACAAAAAGAGCTTGTAATTTAAATTAAAAGTGATTTTTTAAAAGCCAGCAAGCAAGAACTAGGTAGGAAACTCCTGACTATCAGGATGGTGTGACTTGATCCCACGGCATCTGGAGGAGAATGGACTGTGCTCTAGGGCATTTAGAGACTGTGTTTTGACACAGAAAGTCACAGCAGTATTGGTCCTTTGATGAGGTATCACCTGCTTCACCAGGGCTAATGACTTAAGATGTATATGGACCCACAGAGAAAATGTAGAAAAGGTATTACACACCAGGAGATGAACAAAAATGTAAAGTTCTGTACAGACAATAAAGATGCCACACAACAGTTTTCCCCGTCTCCTTCCCATGCATCCATCCCATAGCTCCTATAGTAAGCTTACCAGGCCAGTTAGTTCCCTCTCTGAAGTCCAAGATGTGTGTACACACGCGCATGGGCACATGCGCAAGCGCACGCGCGCTTGCGTGCGAGCGCTCTCGCGTGTGTGTGTGTGTGTGTGTGTGTGTGTGTGTGTGTTGCACTGGGAATCAAACTCAGGACTTTGTGCTTGCTAGGCAGGCACTTCTGCCACTGAATTATATCCTCAGCCTAAAGCTCCAGTACAATTAACATC